TTCAGGACGTCATAAACTCTGTTCTGGGACATTATAACTCTGCTCAGTACATTATAAACTCTGTTAAGAACATAACTCTGTTTGGGACGTTACAAACTGACGCTATAAACATTTGTTACCGATGTTACAAACTCAATTCGGTAGACTATAAACTCTGCTTGAGACGTTATTGACTCCGTTTGGGACATTATAAACTTGGTTTGGGACATGATAAACTATTCAGGACGTTATAAACTCTGTTTGGGATGTTATAAACTTTGGGATGTTATAAACTGTGCTCATTACGTTATAAACTCTGTTCAGGACGTTATAAACTCTGGTATGTTATGAACTCTGACTGGGGTGTTATAAACTTAATTTGGGACATTATAAACTCTGTTTGGGACGTTATAACTGAGCGCAGTGCAGAGCGGCTCCTCCTAGCAGTTCCCCACTGGCTCTTACTCGGCGTTCTCTGTTCTAGACGTGGTGTTTTTGTAACTTCCAGACCCGCAGACTGTGCAGAGACGACGGGAGAGCCGACCGCAGAGGAAAACACAAACAGAGAGAGACAAAACACGACCCGGGCAGGAGGACGGCTACTCAAACACACACAGGGCTCCATCAGAGACGCACACCAACAATAACAGACCACTCACTTTAAAGGGTTCTTTAGTAAAGACAATAGCTCTATATAGAACCATAAACACTCTAAGAACCCTTTGTATGCCTAAATAGTTCTCTTCAATGAAATCGTTCTTCAGATTGGTGGAGAATGTGTTGTATATGGCTCTGTAAAGCACCAAACAGGGTTCTGCGTTTTCTATGATGTTTTGCTCGCTTTTCTTTTTTACGATGTAAACTTATAACAGTAGCAGAACCTTTTTTGGTGCTACTTAGAACCATATGTAACACATTCCCCATCAATCTGAAGAGTCTTAATGGTTCTATATAAAAGCATTGTCTTTACTGAAGAACCATCCTTTTAAGAGTGTGAATTAGGAGGTCTTTCGTTTAAAATACAGAAAACACTGGGTTCCGTACGGTAAAGCAGAGCAGATCACACATCATCATCTTAATAATCACTGGAGGTTCATTTCAAGTGATGTTAAAAGTCGATACTGATTTTTTGAGGCTAAAAATTCAGATAATCAATTATATCGGCTGATAAAATTTGACATTTTTTATTTTACATTCCATTAGTTTTAGTTAAGGGTGCTTTACTGAGTGATATTACTGTCAGCTCTCACTTCTAAAACACAAATAAACAGCAGAAACTCACAGTGTTCAATAATATAAATATTGTAGCAGTGGGGGCCAATATTATCAATACTGGCCAATATTATCAGCCACCTGATATATCGGTTAAGCTACTTAGCTACTATTCATCCACGATGCTTGTCCTCAGTGTGAAC